GAGGGCAGTGTGGATGTAAAGAAGACTAGAAGCAAGGAGATCAGTTAGGAGATGGGAAAAAAAAAATTATAGCCAACCCCTATCAAAGATTTAATGTGTACCAGACACTTGTAAGTTCTTACCATCTTCATTTTGCAGATGAGAAAACTAAGTGGTTAAGTACCTTGCTTCAAGTCACGAGGTTACTATGAACCAAATTCAGGTCTTAACCTATGCTTTTAACCTGTACGATCCCTTGAAGATGAATTTTAGATTCTAGTCTACCACTTATCAGTATTTTTTTTTTTTTAATTTAAAAATAATGCTTTAGGATTGGGGTTGTGGCTCAGCAGTAGGTAGAGCACTTGCCTAGCACGTGTGAGGCCCTGGGTTTGATCTTCAGCACCACATATAAATAAATAAATAAAATAAACATATTGTGTCCAACTACAACTAAAAGATAAATACTTAAAAAAAAACTTTAAAAAATAATGCTTTAAAGCATGCCCCATGGCACACATTTTATCTCTGGGGATCCCATTTCTCCTGGACCACTGCCACAAAATAGGGAAACCAGGCACCAGAGGACAGTCAATGAAGGTCCAGGGCTCCTTCTGCAGGGAGTGTGGGACTGTGCTGAAGTGAAGGCTCAGGGAAGCTGGCAGCTCTCCCTCTGTGAAGAAGAGTGTTTCTGTTCGGTGCTCTCCCTGGCAGCCACACCTGTTTTGTCCTTCTCCCTACACCAAGCCAGACGTCTCTCCCAGAGTGACAGCAGCAACTGGGAACATCTACACAAGTTCCCTCTCAGGGCTGACAAAGGCTCTCAGAACCTGGCCCAGGCCTGTAGGGGAAGGAGGCCAGGGAGGGGCAGGTGGGAGGGTCGAGAGATGCAGACAGCTGTGGGCTGGTGTGGCAGGCATGGCCCTGCCCCAGAACAGGTGAAGTAAGTGTGAGCTGAGAGGGGGTCCCCTGGGTTTTCAAGGGTATTAGAGAGTACAGTGACATCTCAATATACAGTGGCTTAACTTAGTGACTGGGGTGGTTTTGAGCTCTCTGTTTCCTCAAAGGACCAGGTAAGAAGGGTGTGAGGAGGCGCTGGGGTTGTATCTCAGTGGTAGAGCATTAGCACGCAGGGGGTGCTGGGTTTGATCCTCAGCACCACTTAAAAATAAATAAAAGAAAGGTATTGTGTGTATCTACAGCTAAAAAAATATTTTTTTAAAAAAAGAAAGAAGGGGTGAGGGGAAGGTACAAGCGTCAGAGTGGTGACAGCACTGTGGGAAAGAGTGGTGGAAAGGACACGAAGGGTGGCCTTGGAGGAATACCTCAAATGGGACACTGAATAAATGCTGGAAAACGTTCCCTGGGCAGATCCCAACAGAGGTTCCCAACAGAGGTATCACTCAGTGGGGTCTTTTCAGGAGGAAAAAAAAAAAATCTTGCCTGAAAGGGAGAAGCTTTTTTGGGAGAAGGAACTTTAGGGTAAAATAGTTAAGAATAACAGGTATAAGCCCTTATGCTTACATAGCATGCTGCAGTTGTAAAACACTCTTTTGTCCAGCTGATCCTTTCAGGCCCCTTGAACTTGGGCACTCTTTCCTCGTTCATGCAACCAACATGGCACATCTATTGTGAGCCAAAAAAAAAAAAAAGTGAAGCTCAGAGAAGGTTAGCGGCAACTTTCCTAAGATCACGCAGTAGGTTTATTTTAGTTAGACAAGACCCAACCTCAGTCCTATTTCCTTATTATTTCTACAACTTTCTCTTTCTTTGGTTATAATTGTAGGCAGTGACGTCCTGGAGGTAGGACCTTTATTCGGCAAAGGGAATTGACAGTAGGAACACAATATGAAACCTGGCATTTTGTGATGCCCTCAATGGTATTTGTTCCCCTGATTCCTCACACTGTAAAGTTTAAGCACTTACCACACTACATGTGCTGGCCTAGATGGAAAGATCCTAGCAGAGAAGGGACAGTGGAAAAAGGCATGCAGGCCTGGGGCAGGTCGGGGTGGTGTTGAGATCCTGGCTTCCTTGGAAGCTTTTATTTTTCAACAGCTTTATTGAGATATAATCGATATACCATAAAATTTACCTTTGGAAGATTTTTTAATGGTCTGGACATAGGGGAGGACTATGCAGCGCAGTGCTGGGCCACTCCGAACAGAATCCAGAGCAGAGAGCCAATCGATGCCTGGAAGCCTCTGAAATAAAACTCTACCCTCACTGGAACCTGGAGTTTGAAAACTTGTCCAAGGTCCTTTGCTTCCTGGAGTGTTTCTTTCTCAACAATTACCTCCCAGGAACTGGAGCTCAGTACTCCTCTCTTTCCCGTGCTGTGTGAAGAAGGGGGACGGTAGGGAAAATATCACTCTATGGGTAAAGTCTGAGGAAGACCTCCCCACCCCCAACCTCAAAAGGTCACCTTCTTAGTTGTCCCAGAGGCTTGAAGGAGGTGCTAGAGCTTCTAAAACCAAAACTTTCACTTCACATGTCAGTGATTCTGCATTGTCATATCTGCAGCAAGACTGACCTGCAGGTCTTTCCCGGAAAGGCCGCAGCTTTCTTTGCACATCCTCTTCTGCCTGCTGTGGCTATAGACTTCTCCTCCTGCCAAGCAGGGAATAGTCTCTGAGTCCTCCTTTCCTGAGCACCCATGTGCCCCCTTTCCTCTCTCTGAGATGGCCCAAATTTGGAAGTTTAGTCTGAATGAAAGGTTGTGCTGCGCCAAGGTGAGCAGGGTTCCTTCAGGGTAACTGACTTTTCAGTATCTCTTTGCATCCACTCCCCATGCTGTTCCTGGATCAGGCAGCCCAGTGTGGGACAGGGAGGAAGTCCTTGCAGGACAGAGCTGGGGAGTGTCCTTTGGAGTGGCTCCCACTTCTTTCCTGGAGGCTGGGCCCTGGCGCATGGTGGAGGCTCTTCTAAGAATGTGCTCCCAGCTGGGTTTTCTTGTTAGTTGGGAATGTCCCTGGGCTGGTCTACGCTTGCTCTCAGGGGCTTCCTCTAGGCTGGCCCCGAGCCAGTTGCAGGGGTGGGCCCTCAGGGGAGGTCAGGATGGCTGCAGTTCTGCAGAAGAACCTGGCAGCAGTGGGCACTGGAGGCCAAGAGGTTTTGCTTTTGTTTCCTTCACTTGGATGAGTTGCCAGTGGAAGGGAAGAAACTGGCAAATAGAAAAAGCAAAAAGGCTTTTTACACTGAGTTTCTGAGAGTCTAGCCTCTACTGGGGGTAAGGCCAGGCTACATGCCTGAGCACCTTAGTCCCTTGATTGCTTGCTACCTTACTCTGTGGGAGATTGGAAGAAGAGCAGAGAAGTGACAGATAACTGGCTTGCCTTGTGACCTCGTGCAATGCACATAACCTTTCTGAACCTGAGTCCTCATGCACAGAAAAAGAGGGATACAGCTCTCTCACACACAGCCTTGTTCAGTAGGCTGTATGGGAAATGCTGTGAGACTTGTCAGGAGCAATACAGTCATCTTGGATGCTAAATCTGGGAGCCTGGGCTTTTTTCTGTAGAAGGTGGTTTCCCTGGCTCCTCCATTCACTTTTTACAAATGCAGAAAGATGGATCTTAAATTTGATGGCATTTTAAGAGGTCATCGGATCTAGTCCCTTGGCATAATTACTGGTATTTTGTAGATAAGATTATTTTAAGTGGTCATTACTTTGACATATCTGTCATAACATGGGACAAATAAGCCCTTTTCCTCTGAGTGAGGTGTGACTTCCTGGTGCATAACAGGTAAGCCAGCCAGCAAAGCTGTAGAAGAGGAGGGAGAGACCTACCCCTTAGGAGCTAGTGTAGGTTTTGCAGGGTTTCTAAGTAGAAGGTCCTCATGTTGGCATCCACTCCCTAGGAGGGGTGGGAGGTATGGGAGTGTGGGGGATGGGGAGTGTGAAAGTCTAGGTCCTGTAGGCTCAGGGCGTGTGAGAGAATCATATTCTGCTCTTCTAAGAAGACAAGGGATGCATCAGACTCTTAGGATGGGCCACAGGGAAAAGTAACTACCAAGACACAGTATATTCATTCTTCGATGGTTTTTCCTTCAAAGGAAATTCTCTTTTTGACTCATCTCCTTAAAAAAAATAACAAAACACCAAAATCATGGAAGGAAAAACCGAGCACTTTCCCCTGAGTTTCCTCTGGCCCTGCAAGACCTCCTGCTCTGCTGCAGTTGTTTCCCATCTTCCCTCCAGTCAGGCAAACAAGCAACAGGACTTGGACCAGAAAATTATCAGGGGGATATTTAGAGAAGGCAGGGAGAAATGTGCGCCTGGAGAGAAAAGTTTCCCAACCTGGCCTAGAATTCAACCCAGGAGCTTTTCGTCACCTAAGTAATGGCCTTGTGGGTCCTTCGTGGGGCCCATTTCTCCATAACCCTGACACCATTGGGAGGCTGGTGGAGGCCGGTGGGCCAGAAAGTGACACTCAGGGAGGCTGTTAATGAAGTGTCTTGGAGAGGACTGTGCACCATTTACCGTATCCAAAGCCAGGGTTTTCTTTTGTGGAAGAAAGCGACTTGTGCCCTCCCCAACATCACACACAGTTTCCTGGCAGGCTTGATGGGTTTCCAAACATTTCGTCACCGTCTCTTCCTGACCTTGGTGTGCAAGGAACGAGCCGCGTGGCCTGTTAGTTCCAGCTAAGCCATCGGGGGCGCCGGCCTGGGATGGGGGAGGGTGGCGACCGACTCCGGAGTGGAGGTGAGGTCTGCTGGAAATCCCCAGCCCCGGCAGCCGCCGGAGGTTTAAAGACGCCTTCCTCGGCCTTATTTGGTCGCAGGAAGTGGGCGGCGCTGGGCCTGCTGGCGGAGAGGCTGCCCGGAGACAGTTGTGCTGATGAAGTGGTAGAGCTGGTTCCTGCTCGCCGCGGTGCGGCGCGCGCCGGCCGGCCGCTGGGCGCTCAGCGCTCCCAGCCTCGAGTTGTGCAATCCTTTGTAGCACGCCAGAGTCCTCCTTCGCTGTTGCCTCTCGCCCTCTCTCTCTCTCTCTTTTTTTCAAGCTGTGAGCTCAACCGATGAGTCAGAGCCGTGCAATCCTGACACTGCATCGCAGGACTGGGGGTGACACAGAGGGAGGGAAGAGCGCTCGCGAGGTGGACAGTACCGGCGCGGGGCGCGCCGAGGTTCCTGCGCCGCAAGCGGGGGGTGACAGCCCACGCGTCCCGCCCGGGCCCTGCCAGCAAACTTCCCAGCTTTGGGAGGCGCTGGCTGGTGGAAGACCTGCGAATACCGCGGGGAGGCGACGGCGCCTGTTTGTTTTTAAAATCGGAGAGTGCGTGCAAGCAGCCGGAGTCCAGGAGGCGACCGAAGGCTGCGGCCCGCGGCGGAAGGGGGACAGCAGAGGCCCGAGCTCAGGCAGGAGCGGGGTAAGTGGGCTACACAGCAGGCGGCCGAGGCCTGCACGCGGCGGGGGCAGCGAGGAGACCCTGGCGGCGCGCAAACGGTGGCTACTCGCTCCACGGGCTGCAGCTCTGCAGGCGCGGCCCGGAGCCCGGGTGAGGGGACACCGGGGCCGCCACGCGCCAACTTCTAAGGCCTGGGCGGCGGTGGGAGCTGGTGCGTGTGAACGCGCGTGGGCTGCCCGCAGTCCACTCCCGCGCGGCCCGCACCCTGCGCCCGCAGCTGCGTGTGCAGCGCAACCCCACGGTGTTTGTGCAGCTACGCAGCTCGCGCGCGGCCCCCGCCCACCCGGGCGCGGCCCCGGCAGGAAAACCCTCCAAGCCTCCCAGCCCGCGGCGGCGGCGGCGGCGGCGGCGGCTCAGGAACACGACTGCTCCTCCTCTGCCCGAGCGAAACGTGGTGTCCTTAGGGACCGGCTGGCGTGACGGAGCTCAGGCCCGGGAGGCGCGGCGAGGGGCTGGCGAGCTGCGGAAACTTGGCGCTGAAGCCCTTTTCCTTTCCAGCATGCTCGGGAAAGTGGGCTGGGGCACTGTGTCGGCCCCGGGACTCTGGGGGACAGAGGTGCTCGGGAGGAAGGGAACTGGAGCAAGTGTACTAGAGGCCTAGACTGGAGCGTTGAGCGCGGGCGGGCAGGCGGGCGAGCGCAGAGCCGCCTCACCCCGCGTACCCTGGCGCTGCTGGCGCACCTCAGACCTGTCATCTGCCTTGCCCGCCCCCGCACGCCCGCGCCGCAGCGGCCCTCGGAGCCCGCGCGGCGCCTGCCCGGGTGCTGTGGTCCGTGGTGCTTGTCGGGAACGCCGGAGCCCAGGTTCCTTTGGGCCCTGCATATGGCTGGCTCCGTGGAGTTAATCACCTCACCACCACCAGAGAGAGAGAGAGAGAGAGAAAACATTCACACAGGAGCGTGAGCACCAGGTTGCCCCTCCTGGGCCCCCACCCACTCTGGGTAGAGGCTGAGGAGCCTGGTGCGCCCTAGAGCTTTCAAGCCTCAGCCCCAAGGCAGACCTGAAGGAGGTGCTTGCCACCCAAAGGGGAGGCCACTGAGCATACCAGCTCATCCTCTAGCTGCTGGAAGGATGAAAGGGGAAGTTTCTTGCCCCATTTAAAACTCTGTTGGCCACAACTTCGGTGGCTACTTCCTGCCTCTACCATCCTGTGTTGGACGCCAGCATGTGGAGCTCACTGGAGAGTGGGGGAGTGCTGGCTGGTCCTGGCTGGCCATGGAGGCTGCTGTGGCACGTGTGTGCCCCATCCCTGTTGGCAGCTGTGGCTGGGGAGGGGAGAGGGTGTCTGGCTTCCTCCAGCAGAGGGAGCCTACCTAGCCTGGAGGTATTATCTACCTTCAGAACTGAGGTAGGTCTTGGTGAAGGTGGAAGAATTTGCAGCTCTAAGAAGCCACTTGTACTTTGGGAGCCTGGATTGAGGGGAGAGACCACTGATCTTCCTCCAGAGGCTGCCCGGGAAGGTGTGCTGCTAGCCCCTTTAGAATCAGAGAAATGCACCCTTCCCCCAGGTGTTAGATGGCTTCAGAACCAAAGGGAAGGGACGAACTTTCCCAGGTTGAGAATATATGGGTCCTCTTTTTCTCCTGTTCTGTACAGTGAATAATACGGGTATAAACATTCAATTACTGTGATAAACCTCTCATTGCATGGCTCTAGTCCAGTCTCCACTCTAATTGGATTGGCCTCTGGCTGTTTCTCTGGTCTATGTAGTGCCCAGGGGACAAGGAGGTGAAGAACCTGGAGGATGACCCCCCAGTTTATACAGTTTGCTCTGGGGCAGCCCTGTCTACTTCCAGGGTGGCCTCTCCACGCATCAGGCAGAACCCCGACTCTCCCTGGCTCTGTCAGCCTACTCCTAGAGTGCCTTTGGAGTGGCCACAGGGATGAGAGCTTAACTTTAAACATGGATTTAAAAATAGCCCCATGTTTGACCCCTTGGCCTCCTGCTTTTAATAAATGGAAAAAAAGACAACATGCAGTATAGCTGCAATTGAGGGCCTCCTGTGGTTTTAAGACCCAGGAAAGGGGCTGGGGATGTGGCTCAAGCAGTAGCGCGCTCGCCTGGCATGCTTGCGGCCCGGGTTCGATCCTCAGCACCACATACAAACAAAGATGTTGTGTCCTCCGAAAACTAAAAAAAAAATAAATATTAAAAATTCTCTCTCTCTTAAAAAAAAAAAAAAAAGACCCAGGAAAGGTTGCTCAGTGGAGCCAAGACTTCTGGAGCAAGAGGGGAGTGGGAGGGTGATTGGGTGTGTGTGCGTGGTGTGTTTCTTGGAAGGTGAATGGGCCTGGGTCAGGAATTTTTAGCCTTGATAGCCCCTCTCCTGTAGTTGGGTCTCCAAGAAGAAAACCTCGCTCATGGTGAAGAGGGAGTGGCCACAAGTGGCTGGGATACTCTTGCTTTTCCTTCTAGTTTGGTTTCAAATGCCACTTCTTAGGTCTTATGACAATGAGTGTTCAGAAGGAGGTCTTACCTTTGTCATCTTACGTAGTTATTTGTGCATGCACTGCAGTGTGGTAGTCAAAATTATAGACTTAGGCTAGTTTTCATATCTCCTTTTGTGGAGTTGCTGTGAGGGCTCTGAGTGTTTGGAAACTGTAGTCTCTGTTCCAGTGTAAGTTCTTTGTTGTTCCCCAGTGCCTGGCATCCAGTAGGTGTGTAGAACCTTACTTGTTGAAGTAGGTTGAATGAGTGAACAGTGGTGGACACGTGTAATCTCAGCTACTCGAGAAGCTGAGGCTGGAGGATCAAAGTTTGATACAAGCCTCAGCAATTTAGCAAGACTGTGTCTCAAAGTAAAATAAAAAGGGCTGAGGATGTAGCTCAGTGGTAGAGTGCTTGCACGAGGCCCTGAATGGGGTTTAATTCCCAATACTACAAAATAAATAAATAAAGAAAAATAAAGAAAAAAATGTGGACTTGGCATGTGGAAGGCACAATGAGTCTCTGCTGCTGGGACCTCTTTATACTGTGTCATTAGTTTCAAAAGAATCAGTCTCCTATGAATGATTGTGATGTTGATGAACCCAGTTTCCTGGCAGTGCCCTGAAGCTGGCCTTCTAGAACCTCTCGTCATCCTTACTGAAAGGAAAAGAGCGAAAGAGTTGTGGAGCCTCCTGCCCTGGTATCTGCTAACCTGCATATTTCCTTCTGCCAGGCTAGGTTGGCACCCTCCTGTGTACACATGCCCTGGTGCAGGAACAGCTGCAGCAGCTCCTTCCCTGATTCACTGCAGGCTGCAGGAAATGCAGCCAGTGGTTGTATTTGGTCGAAGATATTGCTTTTGCTATTAGTACTCTGAATGTGTGGGGCTGAAGGAAATTGTTCGCTGGGCTGGGGCTAGGTGGAGCCTACTGAAATCCCAACTCTTACTAAGGGATCCGCATTTGCATTCAAAGCAACATTCAGGGTACTATGAGACTGTGAGCTCATTTTATGAATCAGAAGCATTACAGCATAACTTTAGTGCTGGAAACTGCTCTTTGGAATCCAGATCACCCTCCCTCCACCCCAGCACACGCACATTTACTCTCACAGTCACACACTTGGAAGCAATAGTAGTTAGTGGGGGCATCAGTTCAGATTCCAGAGCCATCAAGCAAAACTTGTCAACACCCACTTCCACCCCTACACTTAGAACACCGTTCTTGATGGTGTGTGGCCAGTTACCCTGGCAAGGACACTGAAGGAAGTCTGGTAGGTGCAGGGGAATGAGACCTGCTCAGGCTCAGGTTCATACTGCACCTTTTTTATTTGCAGTGTGCTTTGGGCATTGCTTAACTTCCTGAGCCTCAGTTTCCTTCCGCGTAAAATGGGAAGGATGTAGTATTTCACAGGATTTCCGTGAAAACTAAACAAGATCATGTGTATAAAGCGACTGGCACATAGTAGGAACTCAGCCAATGATGGCTATCATTTCACTAGCTCCTGGTCCAGCTGCTGTTGCTTTTTGCTCCTACCAGGGAACAGGAAAAGAAGGATGTCCTGCTTATGGTAAGAAAGCAGTGTCCTGTGCTTATGCAAATGAAGCTTGTTTTCTAACTTCCACGGCCCTGGGCACAAGTTTGTGATCCACTACCCGCTAGATGAGCCTAGTCACTGGCCCATTTGTGCCTTAGCAAGGGACTCTGTCCCTGCAGACAAGGTTTAAGGGCTCAGCTTCCCAGAGATCAGTTTGTGCTCTGGGGAACCTACCCACACAGGCCCCAGGCTGAACTGGTCACGTGGGCGTGGGCAGGAGGAAGGTTGCTTTCTCAGTCAAGGAAAAAGTCCCCTTGTCTTTGCTTCACCTGGGCCTCTCAGTGTGACCAGGATGGAGGTTTGGAGTCATCCTTCCAAGGATCACCTTGGCCCTTTCACTGTTGAAATAGAGCACCCGTGGGGGCAGCATCCAGGCATTATATAAGAAAGTTGCCACATGTCAGGGAAGAGCTGAGGTTTTGCTGGGTGGAGGTGGGGGGGTCTCCCTGCGGGAAGCGTGTGCTGCTGTGGTTTGTGGGGCTGGTGGGGAGGAGTGGACCCAGCCTGAGACTTCCCTGGCAGCCTTGCTTTCGCTCTTCCTGGAACGCAGCCTCTGCTGAGGCCAGCTAGGAAGGTGCTCCTTTTTCCCTCTGTCTTTCTCTCCAGCCACAAGGAGCTCCCTCGTGGTGAGAACGTTTTTTTCCAGGCACTGCTTTTTCCTGCAGGAGTCTCGAGGTGGGGGAGGGTAGCAGCCAGGGCGAGGTAGGCAAGCCTGGAGAAAGGGAAGCACCCTGGGCTTGCTGCCAGAAGGGGGTTCCCTCAGGTCATGCAATTTCTCTGGGGAACTGGGGTCCAGAGAGGAAAGAATGTTTTGAGGGATTTTGCTCCCCAGCTTTTCCCAATAGTCTGGGCAGACAGAGGCCCCAGTCCAGTCTGCTGGGGCTCAAATTTGTCAGTTTTCTGCAAGGGAAGGGTAACTTTAGTGGTAACTAGAGTACAGGACGGTTGGCCCTTCAGCCTCCTCCTCCCTGCCTGTTGGCAGAGCCTGGGACAAGCACCTGGCTCCTCACCTGACCTTGTTCCATCTGAGGCCCCAGCTGGCCATAGGTCATCATTCTGAACTACCCAGCTCCTGGGAGTCACTGCAGGGCTGGAAAATCCTCTGGGACATCTAGTCCCACTCCACTTTCAAATGAGGAAGCCAAGAGGCTGTGAATTGCTGTAGGTTGCCATAGAAGCTCCACTTTCACCCCAGGGAGCTGGGGAAGAGTGGCTGTGCCTGTGTCCTGTCCGGGGTCACTGCCCCTCCCAGTTTGGAAGTTGGGAGGGTTGCTTCAGTGCAGAAGAGCCCAGAGGAATACTGTCTGGGCTTTTGGGTGTGGCCCAGCCCTCAGCTGGCTCCATAGTTATTTATTTGTGTGTGTGTGTGTGTGTGTGTGTGTGTGTGTGAGCTCTG